GAAGGATCGGGAATAGTCAACACCGGTGCTGTGGTTAGCCTCTTCTTGAGCTCCTGGAAGCTCGATTCACATCGATCAGTCCACTCAAACTTAACAGACTTCCTCGTCAGCTAGGACAAAGGAAGGGCAATCTTGGAGAAGCCCTCAATGAACCTGCGGTAATAGCCAGCCAAACTGAGAAAACTGCGAGCCTCAGATGGAGTCTTCAGTGTCGACCAGTTCTGAACAGCAGCAACCTTGGATGGATCCACCTCGATACCTGCCTGAGTGATAACATGGCCTAGAAAGGCTACTCGTTGGAGCCAGAATTCGCATTTGGAGAATTAATCATATACCTTTTCACGTCTAAGGGTTTTAAGGACAACTCTCATATGCTCCTCGTGTTTCTTCTGGCTCTTGGAGTAGATTAGAATATCATCAATGAATACAATAACAAATTGATCGAGGTAAGGATGGAAAATATGGTTCATCAGGTCCATAAATACCGCTGGAGCGTTGCTGAGGCCAAATGGCATGATGACGAACTCGTAATGACCGTAGCGGGTACGGAAAGCGGTCTTAGCAATGTCAGACTCGTTGATCTTCAGCTCATGGTAGCCTGATCGTAGATCAATCTTGGAAAACAAACAGGCTCCCCTCAGCTGGTCGAACAAGTCGTCGATTCTGGAAAGCGGATATTTATTCTTGATCGTCAACCGGTTAAGATCCCGGTAATCGATACACATGCGCATAGAGCCGTCTTTCTTTTTGACAAAAAGAACGGGTGCTCCCCATGGTGAAACGCTCAGTCGGATGAAACCGAGTAGCAATAACTCATGGATTTGGGTCTTAAGCTCTTGCAATTCTTTCGGCGCCATTCGGTATGGGGCTTTGGAAACTGGGCCGGCTCCTGGAATAAGATCAATAGAGAACTCAACCTGCCGGTTAGGTGGTCCTCCTGGAAATTGGTCCAGAAACACATCCACAAACTCACGAACAATAGGAACGTCGTGAGGTGTCCGTGCCTTCGGTTCGTCGCTGACAAGGCTCACAAGATAACCCTGAAAATCGCCTCGTCGTAATATCTTCTTGGCTTTCGCCATGGAAATAACATAAGGTAAAGAACGAGTCATGGTGCCATAGAAAGCAATAGAATCATCTCCCGGAAGATAAAGAGTAATCTCCCTCGTCGTAATGACCGTAGCGGGTACGGAAAGCGTTCTTGGCAATGTCAGACTCCTTGATCTTCAGCTCATGGTAGCCTGATCGTAGATCAATCTTGGAAAACAAACAGGCTCCCCTCAGCTGGTCGAACAAGTCGTCGATTCTGGAAAGCGGATATTTATTCTTGATCGTCAACCGGTTAAGATCTCGGTAATCGATACACATGCGCATAGAGCCGTCCTTCTTTTTGACAAAAAGAAAGGGTGCTCCCCATGGTGAAACGCTCGGTCGGATGAAACCGAGTAGATATAACTCCTGGATTTGGGTCTTAAGCTCTTGCAATTCTTTCGGCGCCATTCGGTAAGGGGCTTTGGAAACTGGGCCGGCTCCTGGAATAAGATCAATAGAGAACTCAACCTGCCGGTTAGGTGGTCCTACTCGAAGTTGGTCCGGAAACACATCCACAAACTCACGAACAATAGGAACGTCGTGAGGTGTCCGTGCCTTCGGTTCGTCGCTGACAAGGCTCACAAGATAACCCTGACAATCGCCTCGTCGTAACATCTTCTTGGCTTTCGCCATGGAAATAACATGAGGTAAAGAACGAGTCATGGTGCCATAGAAAGTAATAGAATCATCTCCCGAAAGATAAAGAGTAATCTCCCGGTCATGGCATCGAATATCTGCATGGAAATATGTTAGCCAATCCATACCGAGAATGAGGTCAAAGTCCCTCATCTCGAAAACATAAGCGTCGGTAGACATGATACGACCACCGATAGAAAGGCTGAGATCAGTAGCTTTGGCAGTAGTCACTATCTTTCGTCCCGAGGCTAAACTCACCTCGAGAGGATCGATAGCGGTAACAGCATGTACTTTGATGGCATCAAGACATCGTCGTGATATAAAAGAGTGAGTTGCTCCAGTATCAAATAAGGCAAAAACAGGAACATCGTTGTGCATAACCATCCCAGACATGATACCTGGGTGTTGTTCCGCCTCGGCCTGATCAACCGCATAAACTCGAGCCTGTTGTCTGCCCCTCTGCTGTGGTTGGGGTGGCCTCTGAGCCTGTTGTCTGGGCTGCTGCTGCTGTGGCTGCTAGGGCTGTTGTGGTGGCTGCTGGGGTTTCTTCGGACAGCGGTTAGCAAAATGTCTGGGCTCATGACAATAATAGCAAATATCTTGGCCCACGTGAAACTCTCCTCGATGGGGTCGTCCACAAGTGGGGCATAGTGGAACCTGTTGTGGCCTCGGACGGATCCTCCTGTCAGTCTGGAAGCCTTTCCCCTTGTTCTTATTGTCTTTCGGTTGTTGGGCAGCAGCTGGTGGAACTGGTGGAGCTGTAGATGATTGGGCAGGAGCAGATGGCTGAAGACGATCATGGTTGGACTCCCTTCGGATGCTGGCGTCAACTTCCTGGGCTATGGAAACAGTACAAGCATAGAAATGGGTGTCGTGACCTACAATGTTGTGACGGACTACTGGCAGAAGCCCGTCAGTGAAACGTCTCGACCTCTTCGCCTTATCTCTCACCAGATTGGGAACAAAGGCTCCGAGTCGAGTAAACTCTCGCGCGTACTCGTCCACCGTACGAGTACCTTGCTGGAGTGACATAAATTGACGTTCCATTTCGGCTCGATAGTACGCAGGATAATATTTTTCTCGAATCAACTCCTTGAACCTGTCCCACGTACAGCCTTCCTTATCTCCTGGACGCATTCCCCAGTAGGCGTTCCACCATAGACGTGCGTCACCCGTCAATTGGATCTGTGCGCAAAGCACGCGATAACGCTCGGGACAGTCCATGACCTCGAAAATCATTTCAAGGGCCTGAACCCATTCGTCAACTACTCGAGGATCTCCCTGGCCGGAGAATTTCTCAGGATGATAGTCGCGAAATTGAGCGACTACGGTGGCCTGGGGAACAGCCAGACGATCTGGCTCCCTACGTGGCGACATCTGAACATTGGAAAAGTTCAACATTATCGAACACATGGAAAATACTTTAGCTGATTAATAGAGCGCACAAATCTCTTGACGAGTTGCTTAACATGGCTGGAAAATACTGACATTAATCATGGATATACTAAACAAGGAATCCTGAACATAATTCGAGCATATTAACTAAGTTATAACCGTGGTTTTTCTGAGCATAGACATAGTAATTTGTTTATAATTTAAAAACATGAATCAACACTTACCTGTAGTCGGCGAGGCGTGAGCGTGACGTGTTCAGGTTTTTTTTTTTTTTTTTTT